TCTCTCTCAAATAAATAAATAAAATCTTTCAAAAAAAAAAGAAAATCCTATTTCTGAGATATGACCAAAATGTAGGAGAAGGCTAATAGGAAGATTTTGATGGTCATGGATTTGAGTGACAGCCTTAAGTGTTATGGGTATGGAAGCCCAAGTGCTGATGTCACTGCTGGGGAGTCAATGCAGCATCTCATCTTGGTGATCTTAGTGGACTGAATCATCAAGGTGTATGTGATAAAGATGGGATTGAGTTGTCTTCATCTGGCTTCTCTCACTAGGAAATACTTGGTTGACTTTATTCATCAAACATACATGTAGAAAAGGGAGAATTACTCTTATGCTAAAATCTGGCACACGTGTATGTTCACCAGTTTCTGATATTTCATGGTCTCTTCTTTTCTCCGTGTCTTCTTTGCTACTGGCTGCATTTGGATTATTTCTTTTAGTTGATAGGAGCAAAATTCCTCCCCCAAATGATAAAGGAAGCAAAACCCAATCTATTTTTCTACTTTTATATTGTCTAAGAAAATATTTGTTAGGTAAATTAAAGTAGATACTAAGCTTCTAAAGGAAGCCCAAATAATTTAAATAAGATTATTTATTTTATTTATTTAAAGATTTTATTTATTTGAGAGAGAGCATGAGCAGGGAGAAAGGGGCAGAAGGAAAGGGAGAGGGAGAAGCTGACTCCCCGCTAAGCATGGAGCATGAGGGACACAGGGCTCCACATGGGGCTCCATCCCAGAACCCTGAGCTCATGACCTGAGCTGAAGTCAGAAGCTTAACCTACTGAGCTACCCAGGCACCCCTAAATTAGATCATTTTTATCATACTTAAAAGCCTAAAAGTGAGGGGTCCTGACTCTTAGAGCAATTTCTGCTCCACACTGTTATTCAAGGACCTACTTTCCTTCCATATTGTTACTCTGCTGTTCTTTAGGAAGTTGTCCTTAAGTGCATGGTTGAATTAGGGTCACCACTACTTCTGCCTTCCAGCCTGTTGGGAAGGAAGGAAGTGGAGGGCAAGCAATTTCTTTTTAACCAAGAGGCCCAGAACCTACTCATATCACTTCTGCTTTTAAGTCCACTGAGAAGAACTTAGTCACATGCCTGTACCTAAGTGCAAGAGAGGCTAAGACTTTATGACTCTGGGAAGAATGGAAGAGTGACTTTTGGAGACTGCCCGAGTGGGCTAGCAGATTTAAAACTACTAGCCAGAAATATACTTAAAGATTATGTATACATTGTTTTATTTGAAATATTAAAACACTTCAAGAGCACAGGAATTAGTAGTTGGCTGACTAGAGAATTTAATTCATGCTTATTCGTTAATTAGTTTTTATTCCAGTAGTGGATGTGTAAATTCCCAAAGTTGAGTAACTGGAAATTTTTAATACTGCATCATTTTAATATCCTAGTTTCTTACATTTAAGCAAAATCTTTTCAGTGTCTTTGAATCTTATGCACACAAAATGGTAGCAGAGATTCTGTGTTCATCCACAATCACTTTAATAATTTGTTTATTTTCTGTTGGGGACTCTAATCAGATAGAGGTGTAAGGAAGCAGAGCACTTCCTCTGAGTCCTTAGGCACCTCACTGTGACCTAGGATGATCTTTAAATTGGGTAGGCATGGAATCAGAAACCTAGTATATCATCACTCAGGTCACTGAGCCTGAGATTTCTTGGAAATTCAAACATGGTAGAGATAGGTACATACATCGGGTTTTTTTATTGTTATGAGCTACAAGTTGGCATAAATGATAATAAAACTACTTTTTATGAAGTGACTTAGGCCAGTGCATCTAAGTTGGACCATCTTGTAAAATTCAGAAATAATGTTAGGGCCACTGAAATGAGGTTTATTGAGTCTTAAGAGTAAACTGAGGTGTTTTCACTTTATGTGTGTGTGTGTGTGTGTGTGTGTATCTATAATTTGGTATATGTATCTAGCTAGCCACAGAGAGATCCTAAGAGAATTTGAGAGAACTCTAAGGACTGTCAGAATGCTTCATGAAAAAATGTTCCTGCTCTATCTTCATCTTCACTAGAACTGTGCCTTTAATATTTATGAAAATCCCTGAAAATGGTGTCTTTCCAATCATTTGCAACTACTGATTGCGCAATTTGTATGGCAATAGATTATGTGCTGTGGAGGACACTAATGCATACTGTTTGATCCTTCAGAGAGTTGAGAGAGAACATAATACACATTTAAAAAAAAATACATGAAGCAAGTTCTTCAGATAAAGATGTATATGTAGGGCACCTTGGTGGCTCAGTGGGTTAAAACCTCTGCCTTCGGCTCAGGTCATGATCTCAGGGTCCTGGGATCGAGCCCTGCATCGGGCTCTCTGCTCAGCAGGGAGCCTGCTTCCCCCTCTCTCTCTCTGCCTGCCTCTCTGCCTACTTGTGATCTCTGTATGTCAAATAAATAAAATCTTTAAAAAAAAAAGAAAGACATATATGTAGATATACATAACTGCATCCTAAGAGCTGGCTGTTATAAGGCAATATAGTTCATTTATACCAGTCCAAAGAAGGTAAGAGTAACTTTGGACCAGAATCATTGGAAAGATAGTCTTCTTGTAAACCAGATTGGTGAAGGAAGGCACTTTTAGAGGAAGAAAATGTAATCAGCAAAGGTATTTAGATTTAAGGTATATATCACATGCTTGAGAAACTACAAAACAGGCTAATCTGGTAAACGTGGAAGTTACACGTAGAGATAAGATAACTAGCTTTTTGAGGTCGGAGTATGAAGCATTTCTTAAAGACAGGATAAAAAGTTTGGATTTTTTTGGTTGAGACATTGGAAACCATTGAAGGTTTCTGAGTAGAAGATGTTAGAAGTGACTCCTTACACTAATCTAGTAACTGTATAGAGCAGGTTGAAGGAATTGAAGGAAGGAGGGCAGGGAGCCCATTAGAAAGTGATTATAAGAACAGACACATGGGGGGCGCCTGGGTGGCTCAGTGGGTTAAGGCCTCTGCCTTCGGCTCAGGTCATGATCCCAGGGTCCTGGGATCAAGCCCCGCATCAGGCTCTCTGCTCTGCGGGGAGCCTGCTTCCTTCTCTCTCTCTGTGCTTGCCTCTCTGCCTACTTGTGATCTCTGTCTGTCAAATAAGTAAGTAAAATCTTAAAAAAAAAAAAAATAATAAAAAGAACAGACACATGGCATTGTGGGACCCTGATAGAAGCAAGACTGACGAAAGATGGATTGGAAAGATGTTACCTCATCTGATGTTAAGTGAGGGAGAGAAAAAGATTCGGAAATGTTCTGAGACCTTTAGTCTGAATTACACGGACAGAATAATCCTTTTGCCGAAGTATTGAGCATGAAGTAGTATTTGAAATTCAAATGAAAATGCATCCTGGGTATTAGAAGATGAGAAATGATGGATCTGGATGGAGGTAGAGATTTAGATGTCTTTTTCCTAGAAATTACAAATGAAGCCAAGGAAGAAGGAAGTGTGAATAAGGAAGGCAATGGGCAAAGAGAAGATCACAGAGATGAATTTCCATACCTGGTGGAAGGACCAAAACATGCCTTCAAAGAAGATAATGATAGTACATTCACAAAGGCACAGAGAACCAACAAAGCCAGAAACAGGGAGTGTCCAAAGATATAGATAAGGATCCAGTAGGGGCAGAGATACCAAGAGATTTTCAGAAAGAGGAGGGTGATCAGATGCCATGAAGGTCAAGGAGAACAAGAAACAACAAAACATTGTATTTGACTATTAGGGAGGTGGGTTGGGGAGAGAGACCCACACAGACATAGACACATTCCCCTTATCAAATGCTGCAGTGGACAGTCAACTGTGGTAGATTCTCTTATGTCTGTGATTTTATTTCTTCCTCAAAGTAAGATCATGTCCTCCTTTCCTTCTTAGGGAAGGAAACAAACACAGAATTTAATTCTGGGTTCAGGATTCAAACCCAAGTTGTAGACCTTTTTGCTATATCATGGAGAAGGTCATTTATAAAAGGAATGGGCAAATTGTGGGCTGTGGTCTGCTGTTGTCTTTTGAATGTTGCCACAATAAAGAGAATCATTCCACTCTAGCTCCACCCAGCACCAGGTGTAAGGGTTTTCTGGTCCTATTCTCATAGATTTTTGGTTGAAAGGGCCCTTTGAGTGTACCTAATTGTATAGATTAGAAATTGAGGTTTGGAGTCCTTAAAGACTTACTTAAAGTTCAACCTGGTTCCAGAAACTCCAGAGCTTTTACTCAGCTCTTGCGCTCTTTCTGCTCTTCCATACTTTCTCTTCTCAGAAGTAACAGGTGGCATTTGTAGATGTCTCACCGGGACAACAAGAGCTCCCAAGTGTGTTCTCTGGCAGCTCAGGATCATTTCAAATAGATAGTGCCTACTGTTAAAATGCCTGTGACAGACTGTATGTACTTGAAGAAGTGAAGCTGATTAATTTTAGATTCATAGCCTATGAGTCTCTTTCCCTTTTAATTAATTCAGTCAGATGCCCTGGACAGGAGGGCACACAAGTCATCAGTATCTAAGGTCATTTCTGCTTGGTACAATGAGTTTTGTTTGTTTTATCGAGAAAAGGAGGGAAGACTTCAGTGTAGTCCTCCTTTATATTCTTTTCAAATGATTATTTCCTGTAGAATATCTTTAGCCTTGTTTTTATTTAATTTCCTTTGGAAGGGGGCTAGAAAGTACAAATACACAAATTCAACATAAACCAGTACTTATTCTCGAGGACAAATTGTTATCTGAGTGGGGGAGGGTTTAATTTGTACAGTAAAAGCAAAACAAAACTCCTATATACATCAGCATTAAACAAAGATGGGCACCAAAAAAAAAGAAAAAATCTAACTTTCCTTAATGTCTCAAGTATGTTTTTGTAACCCGCCTCTTTAATTTACTAGCTCATCCCACCCGCTGCTGCCTGTGTATTTAATAACTTAACCTGTTAAGGTATTTGTAGGTGAGACCTGCGTTTATGGCTCATGTGTGCTGTTTTGTGTCTGTTCCAGACCTTTGATGAATGTGTGGCCGAGGGCGGCTCAGACTGTGCTCCGGAGAAGCTCTGGCTTCAAATCCCGTTCTTCTGTGGCCACAGCTCGGAATGCTGGTAGGGACATAAAGTTAGCTTAAGTTGATAGTCTTCTTTATTGTCTCTATAATCTGTGTTTCACAAGTGTGAACGTATCAGTCAAGGGCTAGGTATAGGGAAATTAGTGAAAGACCAGACTAAAAATAACATGGAATTAAGTAATAATCTAGTTTTATAGTTACCTTTAAATGCATTGAAAAGATTCTTCATACATCATATCCTTGGCAGTGTTTTCTCAGATGCTGGTTTTTAATTTTGTTTTTTTTTTTTTATTTTTTGTTATTTTATTTTATTTTATTATTTGAGAGGGAGTTGAGAGTACAAGCAGGGGAAGGGGCAGAGGGAGAGGCAGGCTCCCTACTGAGCAGGACCCTGAGATCATGACCTGAGCTGAAAGCAGAATCTTATCCAACTGAGCCATCCAGGTGCCTCATAGTTTTTTGGTTTTGATGTTAACATATTTTCCTATATTCTGGCAGATCTCCTAATTAGAGGCCAGGGATAATTTCATAAAGCTCATTTTCTCCTAAGCTTGTTGTTTTAGCCATTCATTTTATTTTACTTTTTTTTTTATTTTTTAAAGATTTTATTTATTTATTTGACAGATAGAGATCACAAGTAGGCAGAGAGAGAGGAGGAAACAGGCTCCCTGCTGAGAGCCCAATGTGGGGCTTGATCCCAGGATTCTGGGATCATGACCTGAGCCGAAGGCAGAGGCTTTAACCCACTGAGCCATCCAGGTGCCCCTTAGCCATTCATTTTAGATCAAGAAAAGGCTTAGTGGGTAAATTATTCACCTGGTTTTACTGTTAACTGATTTTTTTACTTTGAGAAAAGCCAGGGTTATGGTTGTGGTTTGGTCTGCTAATAAATATGAGGTGGAAAATAAAGGTTTTTTTATCTTTAAAAAAAGTTCATTTCCTCAGAATGAGCAGAATTTTCAGTTTTTTTTTTTTAAAAAGGTACATTTTTATACATATTTATTCTAATCATTTTAATAAGAAAAGTAGAAATAGGAACACATTCAGAGTTAGTGTCTTCCTTAAAACCATGATGAGAAATGCAAGGAATGCCTTTATTCTTTTGCTCATTATGTGAGACATATTACTGGATCAATATGGACCTTAAGGGGCCTACTCAATAGATTATATCAAAGCATAATAACAGCACAAGAACTGGAAGTATAGGAAGAACATCTTCTCAATTTTTAATCATATCTTTAGAATAGGAATTGGCAGATTACCATCTAGAGACCAAATTTGGCCTATCATCTGTTTTTAGAAATAAAGTTTTATTGGAACTCAGCCATTTCCATTTATTTACTTATTGTCTATGACTATTTTCACACTGCAAGAGCAAAGTTAAGTATTTGTAACCAAGAACATATGGCCTGCAAAGCCTAAGATATTTACTTTCTAGCACTTTACAGAAAAAGTTTGCCAACCCCTGCCTTAGAGCAATAAAAGGGTATTGTCTTTTGGACTTTAATGAGGAGATTTTAATTTAACTTCTTTAGTATGTTTCATAGATTCGTAGAACTGGGATGGACCTTCGAAATCAAGTAATTTACTCCCCTGCTCCCGAGACATTAATAAAAGGGCATTAAGGCTTTGGATGGACATGTGTTTATTTTCTCCATAATCTGTAGTGTCAGAGGCATTAAAAAAATATGTAGCAGATTTCACAGCCAGGTTTCTAATTCCTTCTCTTTGGATTTAGGAATGTGGGAAGCAGGTGGGCTATGGATCAAGCCAAGTATAACCTAATTAATGAATACTTTCTGGTGGGAGTCACTGAAGAACTTGAAGATTTTATCATGTTGCTGGAGGCAGCTTTGCCCCGGTTTTTCAGGGGCGCTACAGAACTCTACCGGACAGGTATATAAAGGACAGGTTTATTTTTAAAGCTGTCCTTAACTTTGTTCGCAACTTGAAAAATATGTGTGATTTGACATTTCTTGAGTAAAGCCCAAGAAATAATTCCAGAAAGGCAGGTATATTATATTGCCTGTTTCTTCTTAGCATTTTCTTTTCTTTCTTTCTTTTTTTTTAAGATTTTATTTATTTATTTGACAGAGATCACAAGTAGGCAGAGAGGCAGGCAGAGAGGCAAGCAGAGAGAGAGAGGGGAAAGCATACTCCCCGCCGAACAGAGCGCCTGACGCGGGACTCGATCCCAGGACCCTGGGATCATGACCCGAGCCAGAGGCAGAGGCTTTAACCCACTGAGCCACCCAGGCACCCCCCCTTCTTAGCATCTTCAATTCAAAACAGGGCCTGGCACACAGCTGGTATTCGTTCAGTATTTTTTGAGCAAATAAAATATGCATTAGATGATAATTAGAAGGCATTGTAGGACTAGTGGAAAGATACGAGCTGCAGAACCAGTCTTCGTTAGAAATGTGTCATTAACTAATGCCACATACCAAACATTATGACCATATTGCACCTGAGACCTGTTTAGACCTAATGCTGTTTAGAGTAAGGGTGGGATGGCGAAACTGAGTCCCAGCCATGATAATCAGCAGGTGCTGTGTCTGCCAGGGTAAAGTGTGCTTCAGGGGCCTCAACTGTATGACATAGCTGAGTGGCAGGGCTCTGGTCCAATCTAAATGTGGGATTTTCCCCTGTTCTTTGGTAAGACCCAATATAGCAACTCTTCCCAGAGTATGCATATGCCCTAACTTCTCACACATGGAGAATGTAGGTTATGGTAAATTAGTATTAAGTTTGAAAAGAGATATTTTATCATATTTAAAAAATAAACTAGTCAGAGTACCAAGCATTTGATAATAGAACAGCATGTAAGGCGACAGCCTACACTTTACTGAGTGGTGATCCTTACTTTTCTTATTTGACATCTCATTAAGTCTCTAACAGGTTAAGGATTTACATTATAAAGGAATAAATCACAGTTCTAGTATGATTAGGGCACCAGTCTTGCCTGAATGATATTAATGCAAAACAGTTATGTTACCGTCCTTCAGTGTGCCACATTAACTTAATCCATCTCTCCACATAAAGAAGCATCGCTCTTTTGTGTGTTCTCAGAATTATTCACCTTTTCTTTTTTTTTCCTTCGTAAGTAGGAAAGAAATCTCATCTTAGGAAAACCACGGAGAAGAAACTCCCAACTAAACAAACCATTGCAAAACTGCAGCAATCTGACATTTGGAAAATGGAGAACGAGTTCTATGAATTTGCCCTGGAGCAGTTCCAGTTCATCAGAGCCCACGCTGTACGGGAAAAAGACGGAGACCTCTACATCCTCGCACAAAACTTTTTCTATGAAAAGATTTACCCTAAGTCGAACTGAGTACAAGGTGTGACTGTTAGGTTCTTGAACTAAAACTTCGACCTTGTCTTCACCTCAGCCCCACAAGTCGGGTTGCTGATAGGTGTGAGAGACAGTGTGTGTTGAGCCGAGTTAGGGAGCAGTAACACCCGGGAAGTAGATGCTGGCTGGTAAGTTTCAGTGGCCTCAGAGGTTTCACTTTCAGCCTTTTTTCTTTTTCTTCCTCTTCTTTCTTCTTTTTTCCTGGTTCAATTTTGGTGGGAGTTATAACCTTCTGCCTGGAAAAAGCCTACACATCACCTAAAATTAACACATAGCGGGTCTAATTGGAGGCTAAATACAATTTCAAACCTAAGTTCTGATAGTGTCTTTTGGACAAAACATTTTTTCCCCAGCTAACCATGAATGAAGATTAATCCGCCTTCACCTGGAGGTTTTGGGTCATACACTTCTACTGAATAGTGTTACTGTTTGGCAGTGTGTGCTTTGTTTTTGTGAATCATGTCTCATGCAATTTATTGGAATGTTTGATCCTCTTTGCTAAGAATGTTTCTGCCGTAGTTGGAATTGCCCACATTTATGTAGGTCGTTTTAATATTCTTTAAAAAAACTGATCATTAGTGTTAAAAACCAATTTTAAAAGAGTCAAAGCAGTATTTCTGATTCATGTCTTTCTAGTATCTAAGACTGGGGAGACACTTCAAGGAATGTTGACATTGTCTGGAGTTTTAGTTAAGGCTTCCACACATTCATGTCAGAAAAGTAAGTTTAGTATTTGTTCCTCCATGGGTTATTTGTAGAGCATATACTGACATTTCGGTGATTCCATATTATAACTCCATTAGTGAGCTGTGGTATGGGTAGGATTTTCCTACTTCTTCTGTACTTTTACTTGTAGACTATTTTTACTAAGGTGCTTTATAATGTGTTTTAAAAGCATTGCATTTACAAAAAAAAAAAGAAAAGAAAGGAAAATGCTGTAAATATTGCATATTTTATGTATTTGGACCAAATGGTTATAAGTTAATTAGGTAAAAGTGGTTTTGCACCAGTTTTATTATGTCAAGTAAAATCATCAGACCTACTGTTCTTGTAGTTCTCAATTAACTTTACTGTTAAACATCACTGAAATGGACTTCAGTAACCTTTCAATTTTGATACACAGAACATTATTCATAATTGGGGGCAGTAATTCAAGTGGGAAGAGTACTAGCCAAGGAGTCAGAAAATCTGATTTCTGGTCCTGGCTCTGCCACTTATCCTTATCAGCTGTGTGATCTTGGGCAAGTCACTTAACCTCTCTTTGCCTCAATTTCCTCATCTTGAAATGAGGAGACTAATACCTGCTGTACCTACCTCACAGGGGTGTTGTGAGGAATAAACGAGACGGCACGTGAAAGCACTTTGGAATCTGCTAATGCGCTGTAGAAACGTAAGGGGTGATGGAAACATCGATCACGTACAGTTCCGTACCGTTCATTTTTTAACAAAGTAAGGGAAAAGTCCCCTTCTAAGCTGGTGGAAAAAAAATGGTTAATTTTGGTATAAATTTTTGTTTGATAAATATCTTCTCTGTTTTATCTTCCCTGTTTCAACAACTATGGAAATACAAAACACCTGTGAACTCTTAAAGATTCATGAATAGCTGCTTGAGTTCAGGAGGTTCCCTGTTTGAAAAAGACTTCATTAGCTGACTCAGGGCAGGAGAAAATATGCTCTTTAAATTTGAGAGAATGGTCTGTTTTTATTTTACGTTACCATTCAGAAGTGGTAGCTATTTTGTACCTCTGGTTTTTAAGATATATTTTGCAGAGTTTAATTTCCCTGTACCATCTTACCCTTCTTAGAATAACAGATAAAGTATTTTAGGAATATTTTCTAAAAGAATAATCTTTACTATGTTTAGTTTAAATAAATACTGTTCCTGAACAAGACCTCACCAAACTAGGTAAATAAACATTTTTAGGCAGGCTGCTTTAAAGGTTATTAATTGTATGGGAGGTGAGGAGGGAGCATGACTTACCAAAAATAAACCCACCGAATTTAAAGAAAAGCTGAAGGAAGTTGGCAGAAAGAATCGTTTTAGTACCCACCCCACCTCCCCCGTAATAGGAAAACATTAAGAGAACATCGACAGGCATACTTTCCTTATTTGGCTTTCTTTCGTGTGTGTGTGTATTTATTAACTTTTACGGATATTTATTGAAAATCTATACAAATTATTCCCTCACCCAAAAGGCAAGCACCACTTCAAGGGTGGGGTGTTTGACATTTAATCTGCTAAGGAGCCCCTAGTATGAAGGTTATTCTTGGAGGACATGCTAAAATCTTGAGGTGCATTAATTCTTAGGAAACTAGAGTACACGTGGTGCCCTACATCATGGGTTCAGTAAACTCTTCCTACAAAGGTCCAGAGGGTAACTCTTCTAGGCGTTGCTGTCTATACCGTCTCTTTCAAACTACTTATCTCTGTCATTTGAACACAAAAGCAGCTATAGACAACACAAACATGAGTGAGCATGGCTGATTTCCAATAATACTTTATTACCAAGACAGGTGACATGCCAGTTAGGGACCGTGGGTTGTAGTTTACCAACCCCTGTAATAGATCAGTATATATGGAGACATAATTTTTTAAGTCCGTATTCTAAAAGACATCATTTTTTAAGTCCATATTCTAAAAGTATATAAACTAAAAGAATTTATATACTTCCAGAAGCTCCTAACTTATATCCAAAGAATAGCTTTCTCATTCAGGCGGTCTCTCCCACAGATTCATGAACTTTTATGACTTAGATTGCTTCCAGGTGGGCATGTTTTCTTTCCCAGTTTAACAGTTCATAAGAGAGGCATGTATTCTATCATCTTGCAGGATGGGTTAGGGAGTATCCTTCCTGGAGACGGAGAAGGGGTTAGATTGAATTCTTTCTGGCCCAGTACAGTCCTGGGAGTCTGATGAGTGCAGAGTCCTCATAATACCTAACTTTATAAGAAAAAAAAAAAAAAAATAGAACCACTGAGACAATAATGTATTTTTTAAAAGTGGCAAATGTGGTTTTCTTTTTTCAGCTTTTGCGCTTTTTCAGTATTTTGACCATAGGGATTTTTTTTTTATATATATATATATAATACAAAAGCAAATTAACCACTCTGAATTTTAAAAGATGACGTTATGTGTGTATGTGTGTGTGTGTGTATACATAGGTTTATTTCCTAAAAGAGAAAAAAGTACTTTTTTTGTTCACCTTGTATCAACTCCTGTTTTCTAATTGCTGTGAAATGGCAACTGTTGATAAATTATTGTGACTGTTTTAAAATGTAATCGGGAGGATATATTTTGATTTTACGGAGCTTTAATCTGTAAAGTATCACTTAAATATATCTGATAGCAACACTTAAAACATTGCATGGGGCTTACTTTTCTATCATCTGTACCCATTTGTGCAACTTTGAACATATTGGGTGCTTCTGATTTCTTGATGATTGGGCTTAAATTATTAAAAGTCAGAGAACTTAAACTTACTGACTTTTAAACTTTAAATTTTATTTTCTATTCTTAAAATTCAGTTAATGCCTATAATTTGAAATCTGTTGTTGGTCTTTCTCAATACTCTGTCCTATCAAATTCCTAAAATTGTTAGTGCCATCAGTGATTTACAAACAGTATTTTGATATTGCAGATGATTTGTTCATTGTATTTGCATAGTTAGAAAGAAAATAGTTTGTAGACAATGATTCTCTTTTTCTAATAAAATGAAATAAAAATGATTAAAAGCACTAGAGAATTTAAAGGCTGGTTCCCAAGTGCATAAGCTGGTATTTTAATTTATATTCAAATTCCACATAGAGAACATCTGTGTAAGCCATCTCTCTGGGTTTTCCCATTGATCATTCTCAAACACATCTATGGTCCTAGAAGCCTTTATTCTGAGAAGTAGCATGCTGTACAGTACTGTAACCTTGTATGAAGTTGGTCTGTAAGAGGCCCAGGTGCTTCTACTTTATGATTTGAAAATTTGCTCTCCATAAATTAGTGCTATTTACTTTGAGAGGAAGCAGGGCAATTTCTGCGAAACGTTTGCATCCATTTACCCTATGCAGAATTGCTGTACCCTGCCAACCAGACTGCTGCTCAGACAGCCTTCTGAGGGAAGAGCATCCCTGTTTCAAATGCACTGCCAATTCAGCTCCTCTGGAGTGGAGCTTACTTTCTGATTTCCCGCAGTGGGAATTTTGGAGATTGAAATAGGCTATCAGTTAGTCAGATTTATCCTATAATTTAAGTTCATGCAGCTTTGTGACCTTTGCAGTACTATTTATAGAAGGACCCTGATGGTGACGATCTCTTTAAAACACATTACTGGTGAGCCTGTGATTTAGACCCACTGGTGCTGTCTATCTGATTTTTTAGACAGCTTCCCCAGCTTTCTGTTGAGAGTCAGTTACATGAGCAGCTCTAAAGCAGTGTTGAATGTAATTTTGAGAAACATGGGTTGTCTATTTTGACTTTTATTTTATGAATACTACAGACAGCTACACAGTGCCTTTCCCCCCTCACAGTCCATGTTGGAAGATGCTCACTCCTTCCTCTGTCTCAGCTCTCCCTCTCTCCTCCCTCCTCCCCCATTCAGTTGATTCATTTATGCAATACTGTTTCCAACTTGAAACCATTTTGTCACATCTGTTGGAGAGATAATCACTCCTTTTCCTTAACATTCTGCCAGCTTTCTGTTGTTGAAGTGTTTCAGTTGATTACCTGATGCAAATGCTATAAAATAAACACCCAGTGGGACGGGGAAAAATGGTTTGGTGTCCTGTTTTAATATTTTTTCCGTAGCCTTGGCACTGATGGACGTTTTCCAAGTGGACTCCGTGTTGAACATCTCAACTATCACTGCCACCAGAAACGTATGCATCATGATTGGTCTGTAGTGGTTTTCTGGCTTATTTGTGACATGCAGACAGACTGACATGCCCCTGCCACTTTTTGTTTGGTACTTCGTAATTAGTATTGAAATTTCACATAGAAAATTTACAAAGTATACTTAGGATATACTCTTAATAGAAGAATAAAGGAAGTAAGAAAAGGACTATCAATTTAGAATAAAAAATAGGGGAGTAGTTAACCTGATTAACATTTATTACACAGTGCAGACATGCTTGTAATGTTTTTACAGAATACACATTTTTAATGATTGGTTTTTTTTCACCCTTAACAGAGAAACTCTCCATTGCATACATTGCCACTTCCCAGCTCACTGTTCCTAGTAAATAATTGATTCTTTTTATATTGTATAGTATTGTGATGAATAACATACCAGTCAGTCCCTGATGAACTTTCTTAACAGGATTTGGTCTGTACCCATACAGCATGGATTTGAGAGTCAGAAGGGCCTGCATTTAGCAGTGTGACTTTAGTAAATGGAGAGCACAATGTTGTGAAGGTTGGACATCATGGATACAAAGTGCTGTCCTGGGGCAGACTAATAACTAATAGCTTTTATACACTCTCTTAGAATATTGTTAGGAAGCTGGCCTGCCCTTCTGACCCTGCAAAGCACTAGTCATGTCACTTTATAGAAGATCTTTTTATAAATATTTTCAAATGCCACTGAATTTTTACTTCTCACCAACAAGTTGTTATTGTAATGCCTCCTTGTGTGCCTAGAACGCAGATAATCTTGGTTCTGATACCTACTCTTGTCTCTATCTACAGATTTCCTATGAGAAAGGCGGGAGATGGGAGGTGCTAATTGTGCTAAAGGAGACCAGACTTGCATATTCCAGAAAGCGGCTGTGTCCACATACTCTGTTTGAACAGTGTACGCTGCTGAGAAGTACTTGTGTAAAGCTCAGGAAACCTGGACTAAAATGATTGGCCCTCTTTCAATGGGGGGGGGAGGGGTCTATATTCTGAAAAACAAACTTAATATGCAGTGATTATCACCTAAACCTTCACCATTCTCCCTGTGAGATCCTTCACATTCTCACATTCTCACTGTACTCTGATCATCCCTAATTTTTTTTTAAATAAAACAAGCTAGTGAGGTTTTTTTTTTGTTTGTTTTTTGTTTTTTTTTTTTTTAAGTAATCTCTGTGCCCAATGTGGGGCTTGAACTCACGACCCCAAGGTCAAGAGTCACATGCTCTGCCGACTGAGCCAGGGACCCTGTCATTATTTTTTAAAGCGGCAGTTAAGCTCTTGGAACCTTCTCTCGAGTAACAGATACAGAAATGCACATCCCAGATCACTGTCCATTTGTTTTCTCCGAAGGCATCTCCCCACTCACTGCTTTTCCTTGTCTTCCTTATGGCCCTGTCTCAGCTTTGTTAGCACAGAGCACAGGTGTGCCCCGCGCACGCAACAGTAGCGGAACCAACAAAGGGGACTTCAGTGTGCAAGTTTTCCCCCTTTCTACTCCAGGAATGAGCAAGCAAGGGAAAATTAAAGGCTGTTCTCTTTGCGGTTTGCTCTATTCTAGTAGCATGAAACTAAACACAGCTTTAAAAATATTCCAAGGGCATAGATGAGGTAAAATTGACTTTTTGATGATGTAGTTACCACTTACAGGAAAAATGTTGAGTTTGTTGTTGCTGCTGCCTTTGACCTGTGTCATTTTATGAGAAAGAATAAAGTCCCTCAAATAGATGACTTTTTGGTTTGAAAACAAGGACTGTGGGATTCATAAGAAAATGACCCCTAAGGGTTATTCCTTCCTTCCCACCTTTTGGCCCTGTGTTTATTCAAAACCACATGACCAGCTTGGTGAGACTACGTGCCCTTTTTTGGGAAAAACTTGATGTCCTTACTCTTCACCTTGAAGAGAGGTCTCAGACTTCACTTGATCTCTCATGTTCTGGTAAGACCCAGTGCCTCCCTCCTCTTCCCCACAGCCCTTCACCAAATCACCATGCATGCGTGTTGCTTCCGCAGACTCTCGGAGCAGGACAACCAAAAGTCACGTTTGAAAGATGCAGCTACAAAATAGTTCTCTGGCTGTGAAAAAGAGCTAGTTTTTTAGGAGTTAGAAAATGGGTTCTGAAGCACCCCCACTTCCTAGCTATCTGACCTTGGACAAATCAGCGTCTCTGAGGCTGAGTTTCCTCATCTGTAAAACAGTTTTGTGTATGCACTTAACTTAGTACTTACTTAGTTCCTGTTACAGTAAGCACGGAAGAAGTGCTCATGTTATCTCCGGTGGTGAAGATGGAAGAAAAAGGTGAGCACTCACTTATTTGGACACACTGTGTGGAGGCGTTTATGCGCCCAGTCATTCATTAACGTGCTGGGTGTGAGGAATAGGAAAGATGGACAAAAGAGGCTGGGCCTCTTTTTTTGTTGAGAAGAAAGGAGGCCAAGAAGCAGTGAAGAGCAGTGACCAAAAATCTTTCCTACCTTCCTCGTAAACCACCTAATTTTTTTATTGTTAAAGATTCTTAACCCCACCTCTCAGACCTTTTAATTTAATACACCTAACAGCTCATCTCTTAGTTTTAACCTTGAAATAGCAGAAACACCAACCTAGCTGGGGTAATCAAGTTCTAGACGCCTGGGACCCATTAATTTGCCCCAAAATGTAAACCTCCATATTCGTCCATTGACAGGCTTAATTTCATGACAAATGAATCTGTCCTCCCACTTCTCTAGACATCTAATTGGGCTCATAGGTTAAAATGATAAGCTTTTTACTGTGAGAGGCAATGCTAACATTCAGATATAATTTTCAATATATTTTAATTCCAAAATCAGTAAAACAATAAACACAAAGCAATACATTTCATCCGAATCTTGTAATTGGATTGTGTTCTCAGAATTCATGATAAACTGGTTGTTTGAAACCCATGTAGAACCAATATACATGTGGGTCCAACCCACGAAAGTTGGTTTAAGCATTCAGAGACTGACTAGGGCAGAGGACGCTAAGGGCTCTGCCCTTCCAGTTTTTCTGCTGTTTCCCCCAAGGAGAGTTTTTTTAGTATTGAATCCT